ATGCTTGCCTTGAGCTGGAGAGCTCAGGGACAGCATCCAGGCCCAGAGTTCAAGCCCCACAACCGACAAAAAAAAAAAAGAAGAGGAAGAAGAAAGAAGAGGAAGGAGGAGGAGGACAACAATGAAGAAGAAAGAGAGGAGGACAGGGAAAAAGGAAGAAGATAGGCACTCAGGAGGATGAGACAAGAGGGTTGTTTGTATCTAGCTTGAGCAGAAAATTCAAGAGACTCTTACCTCCAATTAACCACAAAAACTTGAAAGTAGCTGGGCACCAGTGGCTCATGACTATAATCCTAGCTACTAAGGGAGCTAAGGTCTGATGAACACAGCTTGAAGCCAGCATGGGCAATAAAGTCCATGAGACTCTTATTTCCAATAAACTATCAAAAACCAGAAGTGGAACTATGGGTCAAATGGTAGACCACTAGCCTTGAGCAAAAGAAGCTCAGGGATAACACCTAGGCACTAAGTGCAAGCCCAGGACCCACAGAAAAAAAAGTTGGAAGTGGAGGTGTGACTCAAAGGCTGGAACACCAGCAAAGAAAGGTAAGCTAGAGCGCAAGTCCAGAGTTCAAGTCCCACTGCTGGCACCCAAAAAGAAAATAAAAGGGAAAAGAAAGAAGGCTGCTCTGTGACCAAGTTAATTGAAAACAAGTCAAAAAAAAAAAGAAAACAAGTCTTTATTTCTCTGGGATAAATACCCAAGAATATAAATGCTAGAATATATGGTGTATCCATTTTCAGTTTTGAATGGAACTGAAAATTATCGTCCTGAATTAGTAGTACCATTTTATATCCCTAACAACATGCAGTTTCTCTGCATCCTCAGGCCCTGAGTTCAAGCCTCAATACCAGCACCAAAAAACAAACAAAACAAAAATAGTATAATAGCTTTTAATTCAGTGAAACACAAATTTATAATTCAGTGAAATACACATTTAGAAACTCAAGACAACTTTATTGTACTTATTAATTTGATATTTTTTGTTCTTTCCAGAATTTTTTCTTCCTTCTTGATTTTGAAAAATTTCATCATGTATCATTCTTCTACAAAATGAACTACCTTTAGTGATTTTTTTTGGGGGGGGTAGGTCTACTTGTGAAAATTGTCCTGTTTTCCTTCTGAAAATATGATTTCTTCTTCATAAGAGGACACTTTTGCTGGAAAACAATTTCTGAATTGACAATTCTTTGCTTTCAATGTTGTGCTGCTTCTTTCTGAACTCAAAGGCTTCTAAATGAGGGATCACTTGTATTATTTTCCCTTTATAAATAATCATTTCTATCTGCCTCCTTTCAATACATTTTATTTGTTTTGATTTTTGGGAAGTTAGACCATGATTTTTCTTGACAGAGATAAATCCATTTGTCCTTGTATTTATACTCTTCATAATCTACTTGAATCTGTAGGATTATGTTTACTGTCAAATTGGAGAATATTCCAGCCATTATTGCAAATACATATTTTAGTAATGTCACCCTCTTTCTCATCTTCTGATGATACATATACTAGATCATTTTATAGTTGTACAGGCCCTTGTTCTTTTTTTTTTGCGATTTTCATGATTAGATTTTCATGATTATTCAGTCTTTAAGTTCATTGCCACTCTGCCATTTAACACATTTATATATTTTTTCCAGTTCTAGGGCTTGAACTCAGGGCCTGGGCACTGTCCCTGAGCTTCTTTTGCTCAAGGCTAGTATTCTACCATTTGAGCCACAGCACCACTTTTGGCTTTTTCTGTTAATGTGGTACTGAGGAATCAAGCCTGGGGCTTTGTGTATGCTAGGCAAGCACTCTACCACTAGGTCACATTCCCAGCCCCTAACCCATCTATTAAGAATTTGGTTTTGTTATTATATATTTTAGTTCATTTACCTTTGTCTTTGCATGTGTGCATGCATGTGTATGTGTATGTGTGTGTGTGTGTGTGTGTGTGTGAGAGAGAGAGAGAGAGAGAGAGAGAGAGCACAAGAGTAAGCTTGAACTCAGGGCCTGGGCACTCTCCCTTAGTTTCTTCCCTCAAGCTTGAAACTCTACCACTTGAGCCATAGCTATACTTCTGACTTTATCCTGGTTAATTGGAGGTAAGAATCTCAGACTTTACTGCCTGAGCTGGTTTTGAACCATGATCCTTAGATCTCAGCCTCCTGAGTAGCTAAGATTACAGGCCTGAGCCACCAGTGCCTAGCATCATTTGTTTGTCTTTAAATCTATTTCTCAGCTTAGATTTTGTATTTTCAATTTTTTCAAGTATATTTACAACTGTTTATTAAAACATTTAATCATGTTTGCTTTGAAATCCGTCTCAGGTCATTTAAACTTCTATCATCTTGGTGTTGAATTGAATTTCAAACCTTCCTAGTTGTTTAATATGACAATCAATTTTCAGTTGAGGCCAACAATTGTGATTATTATTTAAAAACACTCTGGATCTCATTTAGATCTTGTGTTTGGGCAGATCTATTCTGAGTCTTCAAATGTGTAAAGGCGGATACTATCTCCTGGTAGAAGTACATGTCTTGATCCTTCATGTGATCTTGTGTGACACTCTGAGCAGTAGCTGAGTAAGCACCTCATCATAGCCCAGGTAAGGGTAGAAGTGTAGGCTTTTCATAAGGCCTCTGTTGGTGGGGGTGAGGGGAAGCCACCTCTTATTCTATGGTGTTTCACTGGAGTACAACAATTACTACCTACAATTTTCTGTGTTGCTAGGTTGCTACTTTTGGTCCTTTGGCAAGAGAAAACAGGCTTCTGGTGGGCTTTTATTTATTTTTTTCTTTTTTTTTTTGGTCGATTGTGGGGCTTGAACTCTGGGCTTGGTTGCTGTCCCTGAGCTCTTCAGCTCAAGGCAAGCGCTCCACCACTTGAGGCACAGCGCCACTTCCGGTTTTCTAGTGGTTTATTGGAGATAAGAGTCTCACGGACTTTCTTGCCCGGGCTGGCTTTGAACCGTGATCCTCAGATCTCAGCCTCCTGAGTAGCTAGGATTACAGGCGTGAGCCATTGGCACCCAGCCTGGTGGGCTTTTATTGATTTGTCGCTGTTGAAATTTCCAAGCTGCTTGCCAGCTTGTCTTATACCAAATCTGAAATGTGTGAGGCAAAAAGAAAACCCAAAGACCTCACTATTGCACCAGTATATATTGCTTGTGTGCTTGTCTCTTTTTTGGTTGTTTCATACATAATGTCCAGGAATTTTAGTCATACTTATAAGGAGAAATAAGGACTACATAGTAAATTTATCTTCCTGGGGGAAGATATCTAAAGTGTTTTTTTTCATGGTATGGAGGTTTGACCTCAGCTGTCCCACACTTGGCAGGCATGTGGCCTACCATTTGAGCCATATCCATATTACTAAAGTATCCTTTTTGTGTGGGCCAGTCCCAGGGCTTTGAACTTGGGGTCTGAGTGCTGTCCCTGAATTTCTTTTGCTCAAGGCTAGCAGTCTATCAGTTGAGCCATAGCTTTACCTCCAACTTTTTGGTAGTTAATTGGACATAAGGGTCCCACGGACTTTCCTCCCTTGAACCACAATCATCAGATCTCAGCTTCCCAAGTAGCTAGGATTACAGGCATGAGCCACCACTGCCTGGCTCTAAAGTATACTTTTGAACATATTCATTAGAAAAAGTAATCTAAGCTTAAAACCCAACAGTTTTAATGACCTGCAATACAAAATCCCCAAACAAACAACTATCTGAGGAGAGACTATGTCAGATATACTTCTACATTCGCAAAGCCCAGCATGGTTCTTATAAGGAGTAGGCATTCTGAACACTTTATGACTACAAAATGGAGGCTTACATTAGTTTACTTTCTATATCAACATGGATGCATGATGCACTTTTTTGTCAGTCATGGGCTTGAACTAGGGGCCTGGGTGCTGTCCCTGAGCTCTTTCACTCAAGGCTAGCACTCTACCACTTTGAGCCATAGCACCACTTCTGGTTTTCCAGTGGTTAATTGGAGATAAGAGTCTCAGACTTTCTTGCTTGGGCTGGCTTTGAACCATGATCCTCAGATCTCAGCCTCCTGAGTAGCTAGGATTAAAGGTATGAGCCACCAGTGCCTGGTTATGATGCATTTTCTTACAGATTGTTTCATAGCCAAAAGTTAAATGTGCTTCCATCGGCTTTTTTCCCATTGTGTCAAGCTTTGAGAGAACTAGAAGTATACTTACCTTCCACAGGTAGCCGCCGACGTATGGCCAGGCGTTCCAATTTTCGCTGTGTCTCTGCCAGACTAAAAAGGACTCCATACACATACTGACGAGCAGACCGGAATAGGAGAGCAGCTGGAGGAAGCTCCATGTTACATTCATCCTCAATACATACAGGGATCTTAATCTCACCCTAATAAGGGTACAGGGAAAGGAAAAAAAAAATGAGTTCCTTCAAGGTTAGGAACTGAGCATAAAAGCACACATAATGAACTGTAGCCTCTGAAGCCTGGTCAATCAATTTTCTATTTGTAGAAAAAAGGAATTTCAGATTAAAAGCTGTAAGACGTCCAAAGGCCCACAGACATTTTATAAATTAGATTTCATTTTAAAGTCCCAGCTATGACTAGCTACAGCCGACTACTGAGGAGAGTCCATCTTAGACATTATGTTAGGAGATACATTATATGGTAAGACCAAAGGAGGGAAACAGCTTCATAGAAATAGAGGAGAGACAAGGAAAAGGGCACAAAGCCTCTTCCATGTTCTATCTCTTGAACCAGTGCTTATCAATTTGGTGGACTTCAAAAGTCTCAGGGTCTCACGTGGAGCTCTGGCACTAAGTGGTAGAGCAAAAAAGCCAAATGAGAGCAAGAAGCTCCCAGTTAAAGCCCTAGCACTGGCATGTGTGTACACACACACACATACGTGTGCACACACAACACAATTTGCTGAAGGCAGATGGCTCTTGCCTATAATCCTAGCTACTCAGGAGGCTGAGTTCTGAGAATCGTGGGTCAAAGCCATACTGGACAAACAAATCCGTGAAACTCTTATCTCCAATTAACAAGCAAAAACCCCAAAGTGAAGGTGTGATTCAAGTGGTAGAGCTCTAGTCTTGAGATGAGGGCATGAGGCCCTGGACTCAAGCCCCAAGATGTTCTCGTCCCCTCTCCCTCCCTCCCTCTTACTTCTTCCCTCCTTTTCTCTCTGTCTGTCTGTCTGTCTGTCTGTCTGTCTGTCTCTCTCTCACACACACACCTCAGAGTTACATTTCTCTTTTATAAGCCTTGTTTATTGTATCATCCCTTCTCCTACTGGTCTGGAATCATCTGAGGCCCTTTATGCAAGGAGAGACTTTTTAGCATGATGCTTCTTTTACCTCCCTTTAGATTCCAATGGTCAGATGCTCTTTTCTGGTAACTTAGGATGAAGTATGGGTAAGAAGCAGTCAGGGAGGTACTGATCTGCCAGCTAACCTTAGTGAGAACATGGTAGATATATGGATACATAAGACCTCTCCGGTGTCTGTGTTCAGCAACCCGTAAAACTTCTGGAGCTACTGGAGGTAAGGGTGGAATGGTGATGTCCATGTGACTCCTTGTAGACATAGATAACAGAGATGGGATGTGAGGTTCTTCGTCCCCCAGGCTGGCTTCTGATACTCTTGCATCAGCAGGTTGTACCCAAGATCCTCGGTCGCCACTGGCATCTTCCCATCCAGGTTGCTGTTGAAGTGCTTCTGTGATATGACTAAATACAATGTAGAACAGAAAAGGGAAGTTGATAAGGATATTTCCACTCAAGATGTCTGCTCTGATCCCTCAGACACTGAATGAGCCCTGAACTTGATAGCTTTCCTTTCAGTGGCCCATCACTGTCCTCTTGGCTTCTTTCAGTTGACACAAACTAAAATGATCAAAGGACATGGGAATCATACATGTTGTACCTTTAAGAGAGCATGTTTAGGGGCTGGGAAGGTGGCTCAGTGGTAGAGTGCTTGCCTTGCATGCATGAGGCACTGGGTTTGATTCCTCAGCACCACATAAGCAGTAAAAGCCAGAAGTGGTGCCATGGCTCAAGTGGTAGAGCACTAGCCTTGAGCTGAATAGCTGAGGGACAGCGCCCAGGCCCAGAGTTCAGGCCCCATGACCGGCAAAAAGAAAGAGGGCATGTTTAAGCCATGCACAGTGGCTCACATATGCAATGCTAGTTATTGAGGAGGCTGAGATGTGAAGATCAAGGTTCAATACTAGCCCAGGCAGAAAAAGTCTCTAAGACTCATCTCCTATTAACCACCAAAAATGCTGCGAGTGAAGCTGTGGATCAAATGCTGGCCTTGAGTGTAAAAGCTGAGATAGCACGCAGGCCCTGAGTTCAAATCTCAGTTCCAGCATTAAACAAAGAAGGCATAGCTGGCGTTGGTGGCCCATGCCCAAAATCCTAGCTACTCAGGAGGCTGAAATCTGAGGATCACAGCTGAAAGCTAGCCCAGGCAGGAAAAGTCCATGAGACTCTTATTTCCAATTAACCACCAGAAAACCGGAAGTGGTGCTATGGCTCAAGTGGTAGAGCACTAGCCTTGCGCTGAAGAGCTCAGTGATAGCGTCCAGACCCAGAGTTCAAGCTCCATGACTGACAAAAAAAAAAGGCATGTTTAGAATCTGCTTATATTTTAAGAAAATAATTATGGTGCTGTTTCCCAGGGAGGGGGGGGAAACCTGTTTAGAGGAATAATCTAAAAAGAGATGGGTCAATTTAGAAACAAAAACAAACAAATAAAACCAACCAAAGAAAAACCTCAGCCATGTGCTGGTGGCTCACACCTGTAATCCTAGCTACTTAGAAAGCTGAGATCTGAGGATCATGGTTCAAAGCCAGCCCAGGCAGAAAAGTCCTTGTGAAACTCTTAAAAAAATTTTTTTTGTTGGATATGGAGTTTGAACTCCAGGCCTGGGCACTATCCCTGAGCTCTTTTGCTCAAGGCTAGCACTCTACCATTTTGAGCCACAGTACCACTTCTGGTTTCCTGGTCGTTAACTGGAGGGACTTTACTGCCTGGGCTGGCTTTGAATGGTGAACCTCTTATCTCAGCCTCCTGAGTAGCTAGGATTACAGGCATAAACCACCAATGCCCAGGTCTTGCTTATCTCCAATTAACCACCACAAAACTGGAAATTGTGCTGTGGTTCAAAGTGGTAGAGTGGTAGAATACGAGCCTTGAGTAAAAGAGCTCAGGGACAGAGCCCAGACCCTGAGTTTAAACCTTAGTTCAAAACTCTTAGCTACTAAGCAATAACTTCCTACTCAACTTTTCCAATGATTCAACTCATAAAAATCTTTTTTCTTCTTTTACATTCAGTGTATCTCCCCCACAAACTGAGAAATGCCAGTCATGCTATGGTAACAAAGCTAAGCAACTCTCTTAACCTACTGTTATTTTGCCTTTTTCTCAGTGGCCTACATCTCTGAAAATGACCACCTACACAGGTCCAAAGAGTAAAGATTAACAATGGAGAGAAGCTAAGAACACAAAGTTCCTCACATTCTTTCACAAGGCTTCTCTTTTGAGATACTTACTCAGAATTAGTTCCATTTGGCTCATCCCCATCAGAGGAAGAGGAATGAGAGGAGTCTGGTCCCAAATGATGTGATGTTTTAGAAGTCAAGTAATTGGGAAACTGGGATGCAGAATTGTCATAAGAGACAGCCCAACTGGCAAAGGGGTTGTCCTGTAGCATGGGATCCTCAGAAAAAGCACTGGATTCTCCCAGAGGGTGGGGGGAGGAGAAGAGGAGGGATGAGTTGGGTCCCATTGGGAACGGTGGTGGATATTTCGTTTTCTGGGGCATTTGGTGAGAAAACTAGAGGATTAAAAACAGACAGAAAAAAGCTCTTGAACATTTTCCCACTCGAAGTTGTAACACAGTGAATGATGCCAGTCATAAGGACTGTTGAGGTACAAAGGACCTACTGAGATCATTAAGAAATGACTCCTTTTTAGTGTTATTATTAAGTAATTGTACAAAGGGGTTACAATTCAATAAGTCATGTTGTGAGTATACTGCTCCTTGGTCAATGTCACCCCTTCCCTCATTCTTTCCCATTTCCTCCACTCCCATCTCTATCCTCTAGTTAAATAGTTCATTTTAAAAATAATGCGCAGTGAATGTAATGATAAAAATTGCTCACAAGAACTAATTCTAGGGCTGGGAAGGTGGCTCAGTGGTAGAGTGCTTGCCTTGCATGCATGAGGCCCTGGGTTCAATTCCTCAGCACCACATAAGCAGAAAAAGCCAGGAGTGGTGCTGTGGTGCTAGCCTTAAGCTGAAGAGCTCGGGGACAGTGCCCAGACCCAGAATTCAGGCCCATGACCAGCAAAAAAAAAAAAAAGAACTAATTCTAACAGTGATGCCTGACAATAATCCAACAGAGGCAGAACAATGAACCAAAACAGATAGTTGCTTATGTACCTTCATAGTGCCCTAATGATTCCTTATTTGGATACTATCCTTATAGAATCTACTGGCCTCAAAGTAGAATTAATACAATTATGCATGACTTTCATAGTCGATTAACCCATGCCTCAACTCAGATAATAAAAATTAGGAAGCAACCAGAATCTAATGCTAACAGATGGTCTCAGGCTTTTTCAACAATACTCACCATTGGCTTTCCAGCAGAAATGGTGCCTACTTGATTTCGTGGAAGAGGAGGATTTCCAATCCGATTATTTCGAAAGCCTGAAGCCAAAAAAAGGTCTATATTTCAGCTAATCCTAATAATTTTCCTGTATTATATTCTGCTAACCCATCTTCATGTGAAAAAGAACGTTATGAGTAACTTATGGTATTAGGATATGGGTTAGTGGTAGAGTGATTGCCTAATGTGAATTAGAATACACAAGAAAAAAATTAAAATTGAGCAGCTACTATGTGCTATATCAGCATTCTTTTTTTTCTTTCTTTTTTTTTTTTT